ACACACACACACACACACACACACACACACACACATAAAAAATAAACAAAATTTAAAAAAAATAAAAATAGGCAGTGGGAAAAAAAAATAAAAAGAAAGAAATGCCATGGAGATGAAACAATTTGGCCAAGCCACACACCAAATAAGTAATGGAGCAAAGATTCGGTCACCTGACTGAAACAGCATGGTTCTTCCCCTGGTCACACAGCACCTTATTGTATCCCTGGCAACTTCCAATGACTGTATTTAGTAATCTTTCATGAATATCATTTCTGGTCACTCCAATATGGATGGATACTGGTATGGCAATTTCTTCTCGTTTTATTTGCTATACTTAAGATAGAGCTTTCTGTCTAATTTTTTTTTTTAATGTATTTGATATGATCCTCTTGTTTTCAGCCTCCCCAGTGCTGAGATTATAGGCATGCACCATCACCTTCCGTCTAAATTTTTTAGTCCATGTACTAAACATGACAGATGTGTACAGTACATAAAAAAGCTTCTAGGAAGCAAAGTGTAGCATACTTGGGTGGCTTCAGGTTATTGCTATTTCCACAGCATTAACCAGGAAGAAGGGATAAATAACATGGAAATAAACAATCAGATAGTTTATCCCCAGCCAGGTATGGTGGCACATGCCTGTGATCCCAGCACTGAGAGGCTAAGGCAGGAGGACTGCTGCAAGTGTGAGGCCAGTGTGAGCTACAAAATGAATTCAAGGGCCAACCAGATAGCTCAGTGGATTAAAGTACCTGCTTAGGCAGACACAGGGACTGGGGCTCAATCCCTGGTCCTGCCATGTGGGCCCCGCCCCAGGGGCGTGCTGAGAGGTGACTGAGAATGGGCCTGGTGGTACACGCCTGTAATCCCAGTGCTAGGCAGACTGAAAACAGGAAGATCACTCTGAGTCCGAGCTACGTAGTGAGACCCTGTAGACCCTGTACTAAATACATTTAAAAAAAAAAAAAATGAATTCAAGACCAGCTTGTGCCAAGACCTTGTCTCAAAAAGACAACTAAAGAAGAAGTTTATCCCCAAAACAGAAATTACAACAGTGGTTCTTTCTATGCTGCACTTGACTACAAGAAAGTTTTCTCAGAAGTCAGTAACAATCAAATAACAAGCAAGAAGAAAATGCTACGTTCTCTTTTCTGAGCACTTAACTCATTAAAAAATGGGGGGACTGGCCCTTTCAAATGACACTGACAGCAGAGTACAGTATGCTTTCACCACATGAAGCCATCTGAGATCACGAAGAGGGAACAGAAGCTGAGCCGGGCTTCTGAAGTACTGAGAAAACCTCAACTTGATAAGAAGTGTCACTTAAAAAGCACTTAATTTCTCTGAAGTACCATTTTAACAAGTATCAGTTTGATGGTTTAGTCTGTACTCTTTTCCGACAGCTCTACAGAAAGGAAATATCCCTCAGCAGTCTTAAGGGGCACATACATGCAAAAGTGGTTCTTAATTCCTCACAGCAGGCATTTTAAGAAGCCAAAGGCTTACCACTCTGAGTTACAGACTTCTTCGTATAGCTCTCAATTTGAAAACTGAAGTGTTCCCAGATTAATAATTCAGTATCCTATACCATCACTCTGCTTTCACTAAAAATAGGACAAGGAAAAAAAAAAAGGTTTAAATGCAGTGGGAAGGATTAGTATGGTCATAAGAATTTTTTGCCGGGGCAGAAGATAAGAGAAAATAAACACTGGTGGGAAATTCAAGATACTGGCGGATGAAGGACACCTCTAATATGAAATACACGTTTCCCCTAAATGTATAGACCCTATCTGTAAATAAACATAAGCAAATTACATTTTATATTACTGCATCCTTTAGCCCTTAGAAAGTCTTAAATGTAAATATTAGACATGTTATAAACTTTCAGTAGCTGCTGTGTCAGCCATATACTACTGGGTGAATTCTAAGAAATAAATTGTTTAAAACAGATTATTTTCTTCACAGAGCTGTCAGAAAGTAAATGTCTTCTCCAAAGACTTGGAAAGTTCCAGTGATGGCTTCCATCTCTGAGTTTATTGTGAACCAAATGTTGTTTATCAGTATCCTTGTAATGTACATTTCCACTTATCAGTAGGTTCTAAAATATGTTTAGATCAAGAACAGCACTATAAAGATATAATTGACAGTAAAAAAAAAAAGACATGTTATAAAATGATTACCAAGTTGACATTTTTGTCTACCTCTGAGCCTCTACTGTCTATAGTTCTCTGAGCTGTTTAAGAAAACAACCATCCAGTGGGCTGGTGAGATATCTCAGCAGACTAAAGTGCTTACTTTGGCAAGCGCAGGGACTACGGTTCAATCCTGGTCCTGTATGCCATGCCAGCTCCACCCTTGGGTGCACTGAGCTGGTGACCGAGTCTGGGTATGGTAGCACATGCCTATAACCCCAGTGCTGGGAAGAGTGAAAACAGGAGGATCACTATGAGTCCGAGCTGCATAACAAGACCCTGTACCAAATACATAAATGGGGAAAAAAAAAAAAAAAGAAAACAACGAACCGATCTGATAGTTGTCTGGGTGAAGTCTTCTTCACAGGGAAGAGAGAAATTACATATCCTCAAAGACTCTTCTAAGTCTTCAATTTTTGAGTTAAAAATCAGCGCATAGGGGCCGGGGAGATGGTTCAGTGGAATAAGCGCTTCCCTGGCAAGGGCAAGAACCTCAGTTCAATGCCCGGTTCCACCACAAAAAAAAAAAAAAAAAAAAAAATCAGCACACAAGGAAATGATCTTTACTAAGCTCAATTTTTGTGTATGTCTGACTTTTATCACCTGATCACCAAAACTCAAAAGGGTTCTGGAACACAGAATAATCAGTACCTCAGTAGTCAGTCATGATTCTGATTTAGGAAAAAGAATGGCATACTCTACACAGGGTCCACTCACTGCAGTAAGGATAGCAGGATTTGTCTATACACACTATCTGTGGGATCTTACGAGGGTCTTACAAGAATTGTAGGGAGATGTTAGATTCCTTTAAGTTGTGAATTATAACATCCTGCTGATCTTTGCTGAATGGGCTGCTGAGGTTGGTGAATACTTCAATATGCCTCTTCTGAAACTTCTTTCCCCTAAAAGAGAAAATCAGCACATAAAGAAAACATTCTCCCAAAGCCAGGTGTAAAACACACCTTGAATCCTAGCATTCTGAGAGGCTAAGGCAGGATTACAAATTCAAGCCCAGTCTGGGACACTGAGTGAGTCTCTCTCTCTCTCTCTCTCAAACTAAAGATGTTCAAAAAAGCTGGAGATACACCTCAGCGTGAAGGCCCTGGGTTATTTAACCCTTGGTACCACCAAAAGAAAAAAAATCCCTATCCTGAAATGTTTTCTAAAATATCAAATAGACTGGATCACTGATTAGTGTGTGTGTGTTCAAAAACATATATTTTCATGACACAATAATTAAATAATGGATTAGGAAGTTGGACACGGTACTATGCAGTTAATATCAAGTACTAATGGATCACATCACTTAGTATTTTTAATTTAATTTTACTTTTATTATGTTATTTTTATTCCACAGTGCTGGGGATCAAATCTAGGGCTCATGCATGCTAGGCAAGTGTTCTACAACCTGAGCTACAGTCCCAAGAAGAAATATTACTGATAATTAACTTAAGAAAGAAGGAAACTGAATTATGCCAAATATTTATTTCTCTCAGAGAAATTCTCACTAAATATACCCCTTCTTTTTAAACTTTAAAAGTTCTACTAGATGTTCTACTAGAATTCTACTAGATGTTCTTTTAGCCACACAAACATGCCCTGACTGACAAAAAGATCCCATAATATTTTGAATATATCATTCCCAATTTTTGTGGAAAGGCTGATATCCAGTTTTTCGCAGGAGAGACACTTACACAGTTTCACGTTGAATCACATCCATGCACACGATCAATGCATCCAGAACTCAGCTAGTTAAGGGCAGAAACAGCACCAGTCACTTTATCCCACAAACATGGAATTTTTTTCACAGCAAAGTTCACAGTGCTGGAAATTATAGACACTGCAATCAGCAAATATTTCTGCAATCTGCAAATATTTAAAAGCACCTGCCCAAGTATCCTCTAATCTCATTAACATATATTCACAAATGCTACATGTCAAAGCACGCATCCTGACACACACAATGTGCAAAACCACAAATAATAAAAGGTAACCTAACACACTGCATTCATTTAACCAAAGCTTTTGATGCCTTTTGTCACTATCTACAACATTTTTTTTTTTTTTTTTTTAGGGAAGGGTCTACAGGGTGCTCAGGGTCTCACTACTAGACTACTAGATCTGACTTGTGGTGATCTGCCTATTTACAGCCTCCCAAGAGCTGGGATTACAGGCCTGCACTACCATAACCAGGCTCAACTGCCATCTCAGCATGCCCCAGAAGAGGGGCTGGCATGGCAGGCCCACAGGCCCAGGGATCAAACACCACCCACTCACCTACCTACCCCCACCCCCACCCCTTCCCCACCCTGCACCTGCTTGCAGGTGCTTTAATCCTCTGAGCTATTTGGCCAGCCCTTTACAACACATTTTGGGTGATCATTTGGAAGAAACTCCCGGCACAGCAGCACCTCCCCGTGTTCAGGAGTGGAACTACTAACTAGAAAAGACAGTGAACCCTTAAAATTAGGGATGCCACAGAAGAAATTGGAAATCTCTCCATTTGAATATCTGACTTTTGGCATAAAAATACATTCTATCCAGGACAGGGTGGAAAATGCTTATGCTGTACTCTTCTAAAAAGATCTTTTCTCTACCTGCAATAATTTCTAACCATTCCTGCTACACAGTCAAGGCCACACAGACTCCTCAGTTTGCTTCCCTTTCATGTCTCCCAACTGTTACTGTCACTAATGTAGAAAAAGGACAAGTGACTGAAATATAGAGAGTCCAGGCACCCAGCCCAATTAATCTCACATTAAATCTTAATACATATCACCTCTCTTTCCCCAGAGTAAAACATCCCCAGATACTCAGAACTGGGACTCTGAGAGAGCTCTAGCAAACTAGATTATGACTTCCCAGAGTAAAACAAATTTCTTAAGTTTTCTACAGCTGAAAAAGGATACAGTCAGCTTGTTGAGAACTAGGCTGGATCCTCCTTTCAATGTCCTCCAGCAAATCAATGTCAGGAAGCATCAGGTGTCTGTGCACTGTGATGTTCTGGTACTGGTCTCCAGCCGCAAGGGGATTGTTGGTGCTGTCTGTACCAAACAGGACTAAAGCAATCTCATCCTTGCTCTCTGCAAACACCTAGAAAAGAATGCCAGAAAGCTATATTGGAACAAGAAAGCTGTAAGATACCTAACCTTTGGACAGCAAAACAATCATACATCTATCTCTACTGCAGGTTTCTGAGGCCACAATAATATTATATTTGATAAGTCATGGGATGTAGCCGGGGGTATGGTGATGCTGCCTGTAATCTTAGCACTCAGGAGGCAGGGGCAGGAGGTTCTCCACAAGTTTGAGACCAGCCTGGGCTACACGGTGAGTTCAAGATCTGCCTGAACTACATATAAAGATGCTGGCTCAAAAAAAGCATGGGACTTTCTGACATTGCCAATCCCAAGGTTCTAAGAAGACTGTTTTTGATGGCAAGTCCCACCTTTCTCCTGGAACAAGTTAGAGTGAGGGAACCAAAAGGTGCTAACTGTTCTTATGACTTCCCGCCAAATCAGAATCTGATTCTTAGGGCTGGCCAAATAGCTCAGCAGATTAAAGCACCTGCAAGAAGGCGCAGGGGCTGGGGGTTCAATCCCCTGGGCCCGCCGTGCCAGCCCCGCCCCTGGAGCGCGCTGAGATGGCAATTGAGATTGGGCATGGAGGCACACACCTGTAATCCCAGCTCTTGGGAAGCTATAAACAGGCCGATCAGTAGGAATCTGATCTAGTAGTGAGCCCCTGAACACCCTTTAGACCTTTCCTAAAATATATTTTAAAAAAAAAGAATCTAATTCTTCAGGAAAACCAATCATGCATACTTTGTAGAAAAAAAAAAACTGTCTTTCTGGTTTCTAATTCAAAGTAAAAATTTTTCAGAGTTTAAAAAAAAAAACCTTGCATGCTCACATCCTACACCTAAGTAATTCCAATGACAGAACTATATACTCCAGAGAAATGTGTGTGCATGTACACAAGAAGACAATGGACAAGAAACATTGGTACTGTTTACAATGGCACAAAACTCAAGCAACTATCAATCAACAGAACACAAACATATACTGCAGAATATTTGTACAACAGAATACTATACCTCAGTAAAAATAAGTGTACCTTTATCAACATGAATAAATCTTAAATGTACAAAGATGAGAAAAAGCTGTACGTACCACACAAAACCATTTCCACACACTTTTGACATCATACAATACTAAATGTTATTTATGAATACATACTTATATCCAAAAGCATAAAACACGCATGATAGTAACTACCAAAGTGCTAAAGTAAGGAAGAAGAGGGAGGCAAACAATAAGAAGGGCTCCATGTTTATCTATCACACAAAGTACTTCCAATGTAGCCTCTCTCGTTGATGGGAAAGACTGCCCTATGGGGAGTGAGTGGAACTCGACCATTCTTCATCTTTGTTTAGTCAGTTAAGTTCCCCAGAACTCCTCCCACTCCAATCCCCACTTGTACATGGAGTGAAGGTCCCTGCTGCTAGAGTTTAAAATTATAGCCAGGCATGGGGGCACATGTCTGTAATCCCAGCACTTGAAGGGCTGACGCAGGAGGATCGTTGCAAGTTTGAGAGCAGCCTGGGCTACAAAGCGAGCTTAAGATCAGCCTAAACTGCACAGTGAAACCCTGCCTCAAAAAAGACAAACACATACATACATACACAAAATTCTGTAACACTGCCTAGGAAGAAACTATCTTCCAGGGTAAGAATTCACCGTGAGGAAAGGTAATCATGTTCCAATGACAAAATCTCAGTCATGGGAGAGAAGAAAATTCTAGGCTGGCCCAGAATTCACTATGTAATCCATGCTAGCCCTGAGCTCATGGCAAGCCTCCTGCCTCAGCCTCCCAAGCGCTGGGATTCCAGCTGTGTGCCACCAAGCCCAGTAGGGAGGACACTCTGAGTGAGGTAATGAGAGAAGCACTTGGCTTTGTCTCACAGGCTTCCAGAGTCACTTATTCTTATGGAAAGCATAAGAGTCAAAAATAAACCTGCTATCTTAAAAATCAAAAAACAAACAAGAATCTAGCAGTTGTAGTTGAATGGATGCCTGGTATGCTAGTATACATGCGATCCTGACTTCAATCCCCAGCACAAGCACAAAAAGAAACCCCAATAGCAACACATCTCTACCCAGGATGGGAACTGCAGTACTCTCTCTTTTGACGCCTCAAGGACCCCAAATCATCAGAATTTTTAAAAAAAATCTGATGGTGTTTGTAAATAGGATATCATGTCCGCATCTTGTACAGCAATTAACCACTAGGAAGAATGTATGCAATGTGTGAATTATTGAAACTGTCCTACCAACTTGGTTTGAAACTGTCTCATTGCTATTTGTTT